TAACGAGTTCAATTTTCAGACAGAAAATCGAACGCTTCGATTTCGTTTCCGCGAAAAATTTATCGCGCGTCTCGACACTCCGTAATCAGCGAGTCTCTCGAGAATTTCTTTGAAATTCAAGTGCTAATTCAAATTCAAAATCGTTGGATTTTCTCGTTATCACGCGAATGGAGCACATTGTACAAGAGGTTTCCAGCTTGGCTACCGGTAAAGATCTGGCGAGGTTCGCGATTTATCTGTTTAAATACGACCCGAGGCGATGCACAGCCCGCTCGTGTTTAAACGGCTTGCTACCTGATCTTTCGCGTTCTCGCTCGCTTACTCTCTCGCACGCCGCGTGAAAGTTTCCATCGAACTTGCCATAAAATCATTTCCTGCCGTTTAACGTCGTACACACACACGTACACGCGCGCGCGTACACGAAACGTTCGATGATTTTATCCTAGCCGACGCTGTAGACGCGCGCGTTAATGGAATTCGTTTTCAACTGTTGAAGTTTTAATTAGCCAGCAGTGCTTCGGGTAATTAGAGAATCATTCGCGCGAATTACCTTACTGCGGGCCGATGTTTGATATTTATTTCGGACGTAACGTTTTCTAGCGTAGCGCGAGGTTCTCTTCGTTTTTTCCAGACCACGTTCGTTCTTGTCTCTTTCACACGATTCAGGTTGTCAAACGATAAAAAGGTGTCCGATGTTTTAGACTTACGTTTTCCTTCCTTTCGCGTCGTTTGAATGTAAAAATTTTTTCGAAAGCCCGGATGATCAAGGGCAATTAATTAAAAACTCTGCCAGCAGCGTTTTTCCGTCCGAATCAAAGGAAATTTAATCTGATCGAGACGCTTCAAAGCTCGATCGTCTTCCACGCTGTCCAGAGACAAAAGACGGTCGACTTTTTTTTCCCTTCCCTCTCTCTTTTGCATTTTGCACGCCAGTTTCGCGCAGGCAGATATTTCGAAAATTTCACGAGCGAGCTTTTGGTTTCAACGGGATCTCCTCAAACTCGCCGTTTCATCAATTGTCGTTCAACTCTGGATATTCAACGTTCGATAAAAAGGAACGAGAAGAAAATTGCACTACAAGTTTCAGAGGAAACGAAACGGTGGATCCAGTCACCGAGAAGGGAAAAGGACGTTGTTGTTAACGTTTTCACGCACGTTTGAATTTTGACAATCTTCGAGAGGAAACTTGGTCCTCGCTTTCTCACCCCTCGCGTTGCACGATGCAAAGTCATCGTATCAAAGAAACGAACTCGCGACTGTCAAAGCAACAGCTTCGCTCTTTGAGCAAGTGGATCGTGGTTGTACGATCTTTCTTCGCAAAGTTGTAGCAGTTGAAATTATCGACGATTGTTCGATCATTGTCGATTCGACAGTCTTCCGAGTTGCACTTGTTTCCGAACGATCGACGAATTCATTCTCGGTGTAGATAGACAGAAAAATCGAGTCGCCGATGTTTCGATCGATCTGCAGAGACGAGCAGAGTCGCCGAGTCGAAGGATATCGCGTAAGATTCCGCAAAAAGGGTTTCGATCCGGAGAGCAGCGGACCGACGCCGCGCGTCCTTTTTCTCCACGTCCGTTTTGAGAGAGAGAAAGAGAGAGAGAGAGAGAGAGAGAGAGAAAGAGAGGCTGAACAAAGCGAAAAAAGGGGCAAGAGACTGCCGGTCGTCGGCGTCCGGCATCCAATAAACCGGTAGAAATAGAAGGATGCGCGTTCTGCGGAGCACGGAGCAGCGCTTAGACGAGCGTTTAGCTTCTTGCCTGGGCTCCTGCCGGACAAAAGGAGGAAGAAAAAGAGCCGGCGCAGCCTGCGGTCTCGGCCAACATTTTCGAGTTTCTTCGAGCGGCGTTTGGGTCAACGTTCCGTGACCGGACCACCGCCCAGTAACTATCTTTTCTTGCAAATTTCCTTGGCGAGCGTGGGGGGGCCCCGCGATTTCGAAGATCGACGCGAGAATGACGCGAGAAAAAAATTATAAAATTCGACGTTTAACTAACACGAAAGTGGTCGATAGCTCGCATAGAATCTGTCTTTACTTTCGAGTGTTATTTATAGTCTTTGGGTGGTACCCTTGTTCCTTCTAGGAATATCTAGAATTCCTAGAAAGTGCGAGGATCGTTTGTGTCTGTTTTATATTGTATCCTTCGATGGAAATTTTCGAGTTTCTTTAACCCCTTTGGGCAACTATTGGCGCCAAAGGGTTAACAAAACACGTTGCCTCGTATGTATGTACGTGCGTCAGCGAACGTTTGAAAAATTCGGCGAGAGAGATAATCTCGATCGAGTCCCCCCAGAGCGGAATACTCGAGGAGGATCGAGGCTGGAGAACCGAGTTATGCCGTTCCGCTTCCATTAAATGATTAATGTCTCGAGGTACGTCTGATTAATGTTTCAAGCGGGCGTCGATGCGGCCAAGTTCGTAGTTGGTTTGGCTTCAAAGCCAAACACGAATTCTCCGAGGGACCATTCCGCGATCGAAAGATACCGCGCGCCCACGGGTACTTCGTTTCGCCGGGCATGTAATCTCCGATAAAGTTTCCACCAACTGGATAACGCCGCTATTTATCATCGAAATCCCGGCGTTTGCCACACCTTTCGCACGCGCGCGCGCTACTTTTGCCGATCGCGGTTCTCGCGCGCGTTTAAATTTCGCAGACACTTTAAATTATAGTTCGTCACATTGCCAGAGATCCAGACACAATTCCACGGTGGATCTTTATCTGAAAAATTTCCAAAGGAAATCGTGGGTTTTGCTTCGACAGAGAAAACACGTGGAAAGTAGGTGGAGGGCGTAATAACGTTTGGAGAAGCGGGGGTGGATGTTGATGGTGGTGGAGGTTCGTCGGGGCCGATTCACCGTGAGGTTCGGGCTCCTCGGGCCGCGGAAACGATCGCTCTTTCGTGGAGAAATCTCGTCGGCGTGGGCGTCGACGTCCTGATGGAAAAAGAAGAGCGGAAAGAGAGACGGGGGCGGCGGCGCGAGTGAGAGCGAGTGAGAGCGAGGAAAGACGACCGGGACGGCCGAGGAGAGAGGTCGAAGGAGGTAAATTGCCCCGAGATATTTAATCCCGTGGAAAGGCCGAGGGATCCTTTATTGGCTCGGCGAGTGAGCAACGGGCAAGATAAGTTTCCCATAGGATCGATGGCCAATCGCGTTAAGCGATTTTCGCGCCTCGTTATCCTTTGTTTCCATCCGCGTTCGACGGACGTCGATGGAAACTTTCCGTCTCTTTTTCACTTTCTTCACCTTTCCTTTCCTTTCCTTTCCTTTCCTTTCCTTTCCTTTCGTATCGATTTTACATCGTGTCTCGCTCTCGACCATTCTCGATCGCTCGCTTGTCACGACCGAGTTACACGACGACGACGACGACGACGACGACGACGACTAGCGTTCGAGATGCCTTTTTGCAAATATCTAACCGCTCGGCTAATGGTATAATCTTCAGAGGAGAAGAGAAGTCTGTCTGGCAGGAAGCGAATAAATAAACGAACGAAATAAATTTTCCCCTCCAGGTGTAATGCGTTAAGAATTCGACGACGACCGATGCTCCTGTTCCCTTTTGTTTTCATCGGCGGCTTGGCTGTCGGTTCCGGCGAGCCAGACACACACGCTCGAATTAAGCTTGGTTTTCACAGAATGATCACGGGCCAAGATTGAATTGCCACCCGTCGGCTTTCGCCGCGGAGTGCTTTCGAAAATTAAGCGACATTGTGCCTTAACGAATAGGGATTCAAGCCTGTGTGTCTGCCTGGAAAAGAGAAGAAAACACAAACAAACGAAAAAAAAAAAAAAAGGAAAAAGAGAACAAACACGTGGCAAGAAGGGCGGCAAGCGCGAGCGTGAAGTAGAAAAAGAATTGACGGCGCCAATTTCAAATCGTTTCTCGATTTGTGAAATCTTAACAGAGACAGAGAGAGAAAAGAGGAAACTGTATATAGCTTCGCTCCTAGTCGAGTTCGACGTTTGATTTTTAACACTGGAACTACCAAAATGGTCAAAATGGCCAATTTGTAACTCTTGTTCGACATTTTACAGATGTGTTTTAGAGTGTAATTTTATGAGACGGTACACTTGTAAAATTTTCTATTTTTTTTTTTTTTCTTTTACTTTAACATCCCTGATGGAAATCGTCGAAAGTTCTAGCGGTTAATTTACATCGTCCCTGACTGAATTATTTCCAAGATGAAAAGTAAAACAGCGGATGGAAAGAGATACCATGGTGAAAAAAACGGAGGAGAAAAATGGTTCGTTGAAAAGGGGTGAGAAAGAAAATGTGTGTGAAAAGTGGGAAACTATATTAGGACAAAGATGCTGGTGAAGCGGAGGGGGGCTATCTTTCGAGGCGTGGCATTATTGCCTCGGTGGTGAGCTCATGGCGGTTAATGGCGGTGACTACGGTGGTACCGGTGGTCGTAGCAGGTAATATCTGTTCGGTCACGTAGACTGACCTCAGCATCAAGCAATAACGACCCTCGGCACCGACGTTTCTCTACCATCGCGCGTACGTGAAGCGCGAGGAATCGTGCGGATCCTTCGTGCCGCGATATTTCTCTCCGCGGAGATATTCTTTAACCAACGAGCCGATTCCTTCCGAGTGAGAATCACCCTTCTCTCTTTCTTTTTTTCTCTCGCTCTTTGCGAGTCTCGAGTTTCTCGTTTCGAATCGTTTCAACTATTTCTTTTCTTAAACATTCCGCCCCCCTGGTGTCCAATTTGTCGCGCGTTAGTAAGAAACCTACTGGAAAGGTTGGAAAAAAGAAATCTAATCTACCTAAATAAATGGCGATGTTCTTTTCCGTTAATCTGCGGAAGAAAATAACCAAGTATCGAGATACTTTGAAAAGGTAGCGTGCGAGTACCTACGTATATACACGAACGCGAACGTGTGGATACCGCTCCACTATTTTCTTTCTTTTTCTTGCCCTTTCATTTGTTTTTCCTCCCTTTCACTCTAGCAAAAACGTCGGAGAGAGATTTGCCAGGAAATTGCTCGACTCACCGTACATCTTCCCTTCGTCGGACAGGATGATTTTGCGTCGGCCGCATGGCGGATATATAGTGAGTGCTTCCTGGAAGCTCTGCTCGATATCCGGCGACCATACACCCTCCGCGTCCGCTGCCGATAGGTCCTTCTCGTCCTGCAAAATACGAACGCCTCGATAGGATAGGATTTCTCACAGACTTTCTGCCCGTTTCATGGGTGAAACTTCCCCTTTTCCACCCTCTCTCTCTCTCTCTCTCGTGTGAAACGCGTTCGATCGTTCGAGAATGTCCCGTGTCCGCGTATTCCGTTTGAAGATTTCGATCCCGGCCGATATTATCCCCTCGCGATGACACGCCACACGCGCATGGTTTATCCTTCAACTTCATCGTTGCATTCGACGTTTTTCTTTTTGAGAGTTTTAGATACTAGCAGAGAGAAACTCTTGACGATTGACGCGACTCGGTTGCTCCGTCGAATCGATTGAAATTACGCAATTACGATCGACGAGGTTGCGTCGGAGGTTGCATCGGAGTTAGAAATTACGGGCGAATGAAAAATTCCAAACGAGTCGGAGGAGAGAGAGGTCAGCGTCGCGCGGAACAGAGCGAAGCGGAGCGGAGCGTTCGGATCAACGTCTCCCCGGAGAGACGGGAAAAAAGTCGAAACGAATCGACGAGGAAGGGAAAGTCTTTTCCGAGAAGTCCGGTCACGTTTATAATATTGGCTGGCACGCAATCCCGCTGCAGCTGAGAACTCGTTCGGCCACGAGGAAGACTACGTACGTATATTCGCGATTTCGTGTCTCTCGGCGATTTCGTGGTGAAATCGTGCCACGGTCGTGCAAAGAGTTTCATCTGGTCGCGCGGCAAGTGAACATTGTGTACGATCGGGCGGAGAATTTTACCGACGTGGGTAACGTGGAATTTTGAAACAACTCTGTCTGTATGTGTGCGTGCGCGTGCAATTTGTACTTTTTTTTTTTTCTTTTGAGAGGTTTGGGAAGTAGGTATAAACCGAACTTACATCGCTAATTTCGCCAACGTCGAGGTTCTTGGTATCCGAGCCGGAGCCGTTCGCGTCGGGCGGCGGCCCGGAACTCGTGGGAGTCCACGGCGCGGAAATGGTGTCGGCTGCAGCCACCGCACTGCCTGTAACAATCAAACACGTCCATCATGCAACATTAATAATTCTCTGTCAAATATAAAAATAACAAAAAAAAAAAAAAAAAAAAAAAAAAAAAAAAAAAAAAAAAGGAAACCGGCCCTCAAAGAGAAAAGTAAAACGAGAAGAAAGTGCGTTTCGATGAGCGGCGAGCGTCGACCGGTCGACGATTGCGCACCACGTGGACCGGAATTGGCGCCAGTAGGGGTAAACCAGTAGGGGTAGACTGCGCCTGGCGCAGGGGTAGGGACAAAGAACGTGGAAATGGGGTTGGTTGGCGTCCAGCGCCGGCAGACGCACCCGACCCCCTCTTCCGCGCGATTCCGTATCACCAGAAGGAAAAACGAACGGCACCAGTCGGCACGCGGCGTCGCGACGCACTCTATCGTACGCGTTTCGTCCATCCGCGAAACAACTGTACGTGTCGACATCCTGTCGCTCGGCGCGTAACCATCGAGCAAGCAAACAAACAAACAAACAAACAAACAAACAAACAAACAAACAGACGAACAAACACTCGGCGGGTGTGAACTGACGAAGAGATCACGAACACGTTGTGACAGTGATTGGCGAAACGACTTTTCTCATTCTCGGTTGGTCGCCGCAAGCTCGATCGTCGACTCGATCCTTGAACTTCCGACGACCAGCGACCGTGAACGTTTGCGCCGCGTCCTTCGGCCACTGGTAAGTTTTCAAAGCAAAGTTTCCTTCGACCTAGCTCCAGAAAGGGAAACCGGTACTTTTCATTGAGAAAAAATGTCGAACGAAAATTTCTTTCGATTCGTTATACTTTTTTAAATGGGGTTTTTTAAGGGGTTTGTAAAGGGTGGTGCTGGTAGAGGGAAGTAATTGACGATGATCGAGAAACGAACCGCGAGGATTATGTTTCAGCGTTCGCGTTCACGAAGAGGAATGCTAGACATTTATTCTAGTCCGAACAAATGAGGAAAATTTGCCCGTTGGAAAATTCTGTTACACGTCTCGTTAAATCAATTTTTACAACCTGTTACTTTATGCGCGATACTTTCAACTTTCCACTGAAGTTGTGCAATATTTCCGACCATCGTTTAAACAGCTAACTAAACACATCGACTATTTATCCTTATTTAGAAATTACCGATAGAAGAACTCTCTAATACGTTTCTCTGTTATCAGCTTCGATCATCGTCGCGCGTGTAACAATCCGTCTTGAAAAATAGAAATAGAAATAATTCAATCTCGCTGGAAGTTATAAATTCTCTGTTTAATAACCACAATTTCGCCAACGCGTACCGCGATATTTATGACAGTCGTTTGAACGCACAATAAAACACACAAACGTCGTCGGTTCTCAGCGTCGCCGCGCGTATTAACGAGTTTGTTAACGCGGGCATTCTTGAATTCGGTAAATCATCGTATTATATGTTTGCAGTATCTTAAATTTAACGCGACGTGGAACGCTATCAATTATCGCGAAACGTTCTGAACGTTTCGTGCAATTACGCGGGAGTTAACCAAGCGTGGTTTAGCAATAATCGCGACGCGTTTGTGCAACGATACGGTAATGAAATCAAGGGAAGTCGTCTGTGCCGGTACGCGTTCGCGTAATTACCGCTAAGACTGGCGAACAGAAAAAGAAAGAGAGAGAAAAGGAACTCTATCGATCGAGGCCCGGCCAATTACGGAGAGGAACTTAGGGGAAGAATTCCAATCGTTCGCGCGTACGTCTAATTACTATTTAAATCAACGGAGAGGATACGATCGGTTCTCGTTCACGTTGTCGCCTCGCAGAATTAATAAAGGAAAGGAAAAAGAAAGAGAGGAAAAAAAGAAAGAGAGAAAGAGAGAATACCATAGAGAAAATCAAGGGTGAAGGACGAACATTGCTGGAAGCGCACCGATAAAACTCTCTCGTCCAACTTTTCACCATGCACCGTTTTAACATTATCTAATTTAAGACGGGAAACGTACGGATTAATTAATAATAAAACGCCAACACCCTCCAGGATGGAAACTTTCGAAAAGATCGAAACGAAGAGAGTTTCGTTGGTAATTCGGCGATTAACTTTCGGCTAAGCCAGAAGATATTTCCAATCTTCCCTTTCGAAAGTTGCTCGACTTTCTCTCGCCGATCTAACGTTCACTGTTCACCTCCGCGACTTCTCATTTTCCATTCAATTTTCTTTGGCTTTTATTCCTCTTAAATTTTCTCTGATAAATTCAAGCTGAAGTTCCCACAAGACGCTCGCCAAAAAGGAACAACGTCGAATTTCTCATCGAAGTCGAGGAAGTTTCGTTGCGTCCCCCCCCCCTCTCCACGGCTGGGTAACGTATCACGTTCGACGAAATAGAATCCAATAATCCCATCGACGTTTCCTTCGTGAATTGACGACTTCTGTGCAATTTTATCGGCGCGCGCGCGACTGACAAATGCATATTGGAATGGCATCGAACCGAAGAACCATTCTTGAGGGACCGCTCGCGCGAGAATCTCCAGTTTCGCAGGATATCCAACCCCGTTGCACGTGTCCATCTTTTTCCCCTCCTCTCTTCCTCGTTTCACGTCCTTCCCCCCCCCCCCCCCCGTCGATGAAATTTTAATGCATTCCCGACGGTATTTCAATATCGATCGCCACTCCCCGCTCCGCCCTTTTTCTCCATCTAACGTGTTTACTAATTAAGCGATCCTACGCAAGACAGTTAAAATATTCAATGAAAGTCCTCCCTTCTGGTCTGAGCACCGAAATCACCCTCAGCGTTTACGTCACGCTGTGCGATTCCCCGTTGCTCCCTCGCCCCCTTCGGGATGTGTTCGTTTAATATTTATGCGCGCCTGTCGATTCAGCGACAAGCTTAAAATCCGACGATCGAATGAATCGCGTTGTCGGACGTTGTAAATCGATCGGGACATTTCCTGGAAATTCGATCCGTTTCCACGTTGTTCCGTGATTTTACACGAGACAAGAGGATTTTATGGGATTAACATTATCGTCCGTTCGTCGTTATTATTATTAAACCGAATGAATATGTATGAACAGATATTTTCGTGAACGAGTAACAAGTATTTAAAGTACTTTAATTATATATATAAATGCGAGGTAATAAATGAATACCTACCGAGTAATTATATTTACAAATTAAATTTCTCGCAAATCTCAGTCCGGTCATTTCAATTTTCGCGGATCAACCATCAAATCTACCCATTTGCCTCGCAACGATTTTATCCCGGTTGCACTGTAACTCCGAACTCGCGGCAAGGATTACACGCAGCCCCGACTCAATGAAAGGCAAGTTGCGTTTGCAATGAAGTTCAGTTTAGACTTCTAACTTCAGATTCAGTTCTTCAAAGGACGGTTAAATATAGATTTCATTGTTTGTTTGTTAGAAGAGCAACGCAATCTTTTCGACTTTTAAACGCAAGTTAAAAGGAAGTTATTCAACAGATCCGTATCTACAATTGTTTTCTTTATCAAATGACATTATACTGTTTAATAAGATGATTAGAGACTATCAGTCAAGATACGACTGAATAATTAATAATTAATTCGATCGATATAGAAAATTATTACACTCTCTTGTTAGACGTAAACAAATCGTGCATAATAACAAAAACACACGCATATCGCACCAATACACGTTGAAAAATTGTTCAATGATCAAAAAAAAAAAAAAAAAAAAAATAATCCGCACTTATTTCGTCCGTGTCACTCATCCAGCAATTCCAACTACAAATTGCTACGAAATTGCTACCGACTCTGAAATGAAACGAAATAACCAACTTTTATGTGTTCCACTGATTGCGAGCAATACTTTCGTCAAGCGGTCGTTACGTTCAATTTTCAACGCAATCCGTCCTACACGCAAGTAAATTGAGAATAACAAAACCAAACTATCAAACGATCTGAAAATCACGATTGCTTTGAGGGAATCAACACGTGCGTACAAGTGATTATTAATTTCCTGAATGCATATCGATCGTCGTGCACCGCAGCACAACAGCTGTATGGCATTCACCGAACGATCTAATCGGACAGAGTACGAGCCCCAGGAGATAAATAAAGACAAAGAGTCGGCGTTTCTATCGTTCACGATCGGTATCTGCTATAGTTTAATGTTACCATTAAAGTGGGAATTTCAAGCATTCAGGAGGGAGTGCAACACACTGAGATTATTCGAGATATTCGACGTGACCTTCTAGGTTGCTGCCAAAACTATTCCAACTATCGTGCCTTTCCTTAAAGTGAACGTGAATACACCTCTAATTTTAACATGGTTAAGGCATTCACGAAGGAATTCGTTAGTTTTGAAGTCCAATCCGCCGGCACGTTATAGTTGACTAATCGTTTCTCAACGTCGCGATCCCCGTCGCAACGATTGATATTGACTCCAGAAGGAATAATCTTCGTTCATTCTTCCACAGACGAACTTAAGCTTCCAAGAAAGGTGGCTTTAAAAAGGTATTTAAGGTATTTATTTTGTCAGACCGGGCTAAAATTCTTCTTTGAACTGACAATCAATTCTACTGAATTCGCAAATCCGTACGAGTCTGGTTTCCACATCGATTCAATGCCGTTGGATCTGCTCTTGAGCCATTAAGGATCAAGCAGTAATCATTCAACAAATACTTTAATTACTTGAAATTTTAAAAATCTGATATAAATTAGAAGAAAGAGGTTACAAGCGAAATGGACTGATCTTTGCATTCCCAGCACGTCTGAAACTAAAGTATTTACTCATAGTTAATAATATAGTGGTTGATAAAAGTTCTTCAGTGATCCCAAAGTAAAGTTCCAATTTAAATTGTATACTGATAATTGATAACATTCTTTTTCTAAAAATATTATAGATCTTTTCTGCAAGACAAGCCTTAAGACTCAATCCTCCTAGGATTAATAACACTCTCTATCCTACGTTATTCCTATCCTCGAAGCTATTTTACTGTTATGCTGCTATCAAAATCTACATTCACCTCATTTTTCTTTTCGTTACTCACGCTTGTTATTATTCTTTGCCTTTTA